TGGAACTGCACATTTTTCAAGTATATTTATATAAAATAAATATATCTTGTATATATTGTAGTATTTTTTTAACATTATTCATATTTCGGCAGCCCTAGCTCGACGCCGTGGCCTTCCCGTTCCGCGTCACATTTGTCCAGCAAAAAGGTGTGAACTTGAGGTGAAAGTTTGCATTTCATGTCACTGTTAGTAACTTGATAAAATTTTCAAATAAATATCCCGTTTTAAAAGTAGCATTATTATTATATTTGGTCATTTTAGCATTCACAATGTTATACTGAAAAATGGAAAAAATGGCACTCTGAGATGGGATATCAGGGACAAAGTGGATTTTTTTGACATTTTTCATTAAGAATATTTTAAGTAGCATTTTTAATTTCAGACTTTGAAATAATGATAATTTAAAAAATATCGTTTATTCACTTTTAGCGCAAAAGTGTACATATAAATTATTTTAAAAGATATTTTAAATTCTCTTTAAATTATTTGTTGTATTTATAAATGAAACAAATTTCAATCGGTTTTATCGCGTTTGCATTTAAAAATTGTTTCATTTATGGAAAGTGCGCGTGAAAATATATGGAATCAATATCTGTCTAATCTTTATCTAATCTCTAAATTGGTCACTGCGATTTTTTTATATTTTTTATATTACGTAATAACAATTTTATTATGTAGAAAATTATGTTAACATTGCAATTACAGTACCAAGAAGACAGAACTAAAGTTTTGTAAATTTTATAGAAGAATTGAGTACGAATTAATTGAATTATTTAAAATGCTCTTCTATTAAGTGTATTAAAAAATCATCGCAAGCCATTTTCCATTTATGATATTTTAGTTGAATTTCAAGTAGTACTTGGTTGTTTTTTTTTTCACAGTTTCTTGGATCTTTAAATTATCCAAGAAACTACGCTTAGAAAAACAAATTTTTGTTACCTAATAAAAATGTTCCTTTTTTTTCATTAATTGTTATAAATATTCGGTCGGCAACTCAAGGTTTAACATTCGAGATGCATTCATTCAGAATCAGCATTGGCGTAAAGATAGATCTCATAGCTTTACTAATACATATAAGTGCTGCTGATAAGCGATTAAAATGTTACACGAAGTGATTGCAAGTAAATAATGCGTGAAGACAAAGCTTTTATTGAATAATACATCATAAGACAATTAGTTTAAGGTAGATTATCGTAAAACATCATTCAACTGTCTTAAAATATTCAAATTTCCCTACATGACGGTAATAAAGTCATTATATTACATATTTAACTATCATGGATTCATGGATGAGCAATACCTTATAATGTTACTGCATGTTATTTTTAAATGTCACGATTTTTTTACAGATCATTTGTTGATAGAGACATAAAAATTTATGTAAAAAAAAGTGAAACTTTGTTTGATTATGAAACAAATATTGCACGAATTGTATTGCCACATGTCTATTTATTACAAATTTATAAAAAAAAAGGAAAAGATTAACTCCAAAACGAATGGATTGTTTCAAAAAATTAAATTATAAGATAGTTTGTTATAACTGAATAACATTGGTTATATTTTTTGAAACATGCAGTCATAAAAATGCAGAAGAATTATAAGAAACAATACAGAAATTATTTTTGAGATGCATATTTTTTATGTAATGTAGTTTATCTAATTTTTATATAAGTAAAGTAAACTTTTTCTGCATATACTTTATATAAACTCCAGCTTATAAAGCTAAAAAAGTGACTATCTATTTCAAACATGACCTCTTTAAGTTTAAACCCAAAAATAAAGATAAGTTTTGGTTTAAAGATATTCTGACTACAAGTTTTATGATATTACCTAACTCGCAAACTTCTAACAATATTTTACAATTTCTGAATGGCATCCAATACTTTTACATTACCTCTATATTTTGTCTATTGAAAAAATATTATAACTACATTAACCAAATTAAGAAGCTAAAACACTTATATTATTATGGAAATCTAAAGCAACGTACCACACGTTACATTACTGATGCATTCGAATTTCCTTATTTTCTTTTCTTCCTTTCTTATGATGCCATTAGACTAACATTAGATTATAGAGGTATAACGATTATAAGATTATAGAGGTACTAACGAATAAGCTTTATAATGTTTTAATACTTATCCGAAAACTTAAAAAATAAAGCACTAGCCAGTATAATAAATATAGAATTTATTATACTGGCTAATGCTTCGCTTCCTGTATATATTTTTATTCTAATGCAGAGATCGTAATAGACAAATAATTCTGTATTAAAAAGAAGGCTTTTCTCCTCGCTTTTGTGGAAACATCTGCGTATCTATCGCGTGTCACGACGAAAACATATTTGCGAAACTAAATAGAAAGCAAACACAGGTTATATTCACATGATTTTACGCCACTTTAAATCATTTATTACGAAATTTGCAGAGCTTTAACACGACCTCTAGAATCTGTACGAATCGTGGATCAGTTAGAATATAATTAGATGATTGTCGTTGTCACGTCGTGTTATATCTTTAACAGGCTGAGGGAAATAGGAAAAGTTGCAATGTCATATCTTATTTTCTATATTAGAATAATGTAATCTCGTTCAATGTTCTTATTTTCTTTATAAGGATTGTATTCTCTTTCAAAGTTGTAAATATTTTCTTTGACGAAATAATTACTTTATATTATGTGTGTAAGTAAATGGTTGTCTTTTACATTGCTTTTCATAGTCTCGCCTGGATTTGTATTGTGTTCTGGTTAATGAACCTACAAAAGATCATGTCTCGGCTTTTCTTGGAAACTTTTACATATTTCTTTTTGAACATCGGTCCTACTAGTTATGTACTGCCAATTGCCAATTGTGTTCGCAATTTTCCGGGCTATGTCGGTTACTTTATTTCATCTGCGAATCTCTTCATTTCCGATTCCGTCTTGTAGAGAAATTCGGAGCACAGAACTCTCTATCGACCTCTGAATGACTTTTTAGCCTTTTTATGTGGGTCACGATTGGTTAGCGGCCACAGTTATCGACATAATTATGTTAATCAACATTATATAACATACGCCATTTTAAATATTTGCGGAGTTAATCACACTCGGTGATATGTGGCCTAGCATTCTGAGAGCGACGCACGCCGGCGTGCTAGGTTAAAGCAAAAGTCAAAACCAGTTACCACAGACTTTCTATTATCATAAAGAAGATTATATAAATTAGAAAACACGTGTTATATCGGGGATCGTTGAACATTTTAGTATTGATTTACTCAATGGATTCGATAAACATCGGAGTCATTAGTCCCATTTGAAAAATAATCCTTTTACATTACATTGTGACCCCTATTGCCAGTAGGTAATTAAATAAATAAATTATTGTTTTCGTAGGCTGATTTGATTATTTTATACAAGACGCGTGTGATATCTTTTTTTTGAAAATTACTCTTTTTTTATTTTTTAAGATCTATAAAACAGTTGAAATTATATTTTACAGTTATCATGGTTGCAACCCTTATACCCTTAAATGCTGCAAAGGTAAATTAAAAAAAAACATGCATTCTTACTTTTAATTAACACTAATGCAGCTTATTCACAATTGTTTTTTAAAAATCTGACAATTTAATTAAATTACAATATGATTGTTACGAGTTTATGGTTTCCTACATTGGGTTGAATTCAATGCACTCAAACGTAAACAAATCATATAGGAAACATTTGCGATATAAATCTCTGCAATTCTGACCCACTAAGATTGTGTTGTGTATTACCCATGCATTAATTACAGTACGCATATCACATGGTGCTTAAGAGGATTGCGTATGTAACTCGACTGCATAAGGAAACTGTCATCTATATCCATTTTGTAATCGAACAGACCTGAATGAGCAGTGATCCGATACGTTAATTGATTCTTTATTTTACTATCGTAACATGTTTTTCAGTGGCAGTCGCTATTCTAATTACAAAGCTTTGTTTCTACTTTATGAGTCATTTAACATTGACATTAATTGTATCTTTTAATTATTCTTTCTTTTTCATATAGTTAGCATAATTTGGTTTGAATTATTAATTTGTTGTCCAAGTGATAAATAATAATATATTACTATACTTTCAACTCAACTGATCATCGAGACAGTCCAATGAGCGTTCAGTCTTTTCCTTTTATAAAAAAAAAACTTGCGATATCTCGCGACTTCCCCTGTGAAAATTATAGTCTTTGCCGTTCGCGTATGCGTAAATAAAATCCTATGGAACAGAACGAACCGACGACCGATGCAGGTTACATAACGGTCTTAAGTCATCCATAATTACGTGTTGCATCTATCAGCCGGTAACTAGGTTTCGTATCGGGAGCTTCTTAAATAGGTATTAAGCGTTGCCAATGGATTGTGCAAGTTACCATAGATTACCACAGATATTATAAATGAATTCCACAGTTGAATTACATTAAAAAAGTGTGAAGATTGGTTAATAGCTAGCTACAAATCTACTTAGGTGTAAATAAGTTATTTGAAATTAATTTGGTTGTTTTAGATTTTTATTTTCAATTTATTTCGAAAATAAAAATGATAAATTGTGTTGCTAATAGCGAAACACATAAACTTTGGTTATTTTTTCAAATTCTTAAGGCGTGCATCCACATCGCCATGCTACTCGTTTAAGCAGTGAACCTCGTTGTGCGCTCAATTAATATAAACGCAGTCAGAACGACCAAGCTATACCGAGCTTTCGAAGCGTCTTCCATATCGTCTCTTGTAACACACTAAACGCCCATTCGTCACTACAACGTTCGAATTAACTCGTGAGGAAAACACTGCTTCGTTGTGCTTTTGCGGCGTGTCTCGTGTTGCTTCACTATATGGATACACGCTTTTTAAAAGAAAAAATTGAAATATTGAGACAAAAATAGTACAAAAAAATACTCTTAATTTACTCAACAGTACGAATACAGCCGTATTATATATAACATGATAATAAATAGTAAATATAATATATATTAAGTAAAGCTGTTTACTTACTCTAGACATCGGTGCAGGAAGTGTAGGAAGGCGGTGTCGTCTGCTCGCACCGCGGCCGCCAAAGTTCGTGAGCCGGGCCGCCGCTTGCGGCCCTTCGAGTTGGTCACACTGCGCGGGGAACCCTTAGAGTCTGCCGACATAAATGACTCATTATTTACTTAGACTTTAGGTCGAACACGTTCGTTTTCCGTGGTCAATTTCCTCACCAGGATATTCCGATTCGGAGACCCTAAGTCGAACGTTTATGAACGTCGTTTTTTTCCGAACTTAAAACGCAACTAACATGTGCATGTCGCTGTACACTTTATATGAGAAGCGCTCTTTCGAGGCTCTGAATCCAAATTGCTGATCAGGATACTGAATAGGCAACACTTAGGCCAGCCAGTATTGTACGTAACATATTATAAACGTAAAAATAATGTTATAGTAACTTTCAAAACTTTAATATGAAGTGTTAATAAGGTTCAAAGTACAAACAGTTTCAAATCTGATTTGCAGAAATTGTTATAAACATCATGATGGAATAAGAATTGATATCATTGCTAAATATCGGCATGTATCATATCAATATTAAATTGGATCTCATTTGCAATCAATCACGTTTCATGTAATAAGATACACAATTTACTTACGAAATTAATAGAGATGAAATTACGGTTCTGTTTAATTTGAAATTTTACAAGTTACCGATCAATCATGTTGATGATAAATTACCATTATTTACTCGACTAACAGATAATTTTACTATCTTAAGATATTTTTTTACCCAGTTACCTAATAATGCTAAATAAAGAACACGTAATTGTATATCAAAAATCCGATATCATATAAATAAGCTCTATATCGTCTCTTGAGGGAAAGTCTACTCGGTAACATAACCAGACGAAAGTTTCACTGCCAAAACAATATTTCTATTAACATTTTAAATAACATTTATGATAATACTAATCGCTTTTTCAATAAAACGAAAGTTAAAAAGGTGGTCTGGATGCCTTATGTACCTTCTGCCAGTAAGTAGAAAGAAAAGCAACAATAGAGAAGTAACATAGAAGGGACGAGAAGAAAGAGATCAAAAGCAGAAAATTTCAATAAAGAAAAGAGAAAAAGAATGCAAACAGAATTTACAGTTGGGAATAATATAGACATTAAAAAAGCTTTGTAGACGAGTTAAAATTAGACTTGAATTCTGATAAAGTTTTGCAGCTAAATGTATGAATTTAATTGCCTAATACATAAATTATAAACTCTATAAGGACAATTTAACAGATAAAACCGTTGACCGACTAGCATAATTTTGTAATATATTATCTTAATCTCAGACCAAAATGAAGGAAACAATAAATTCTCCGAATCCCAATGACAACAAAATAACCTTAATAGGCATCGAAGCATTACGTCTATGTAATACAAATTAAGAAGTAAATCCTCTTTTCCCGTGCGCACGCGCACTCATCAATCGTCCCCAATGACATAACTTCGACTTGAACTTTCGTATACTTTTGACATAACAATTCACAACCGGTTTAAATTTTATCGTTCCAGCAGTTTTTCTTTATGTGTAGTAAACTATGTAGCACACAAAAGTATGCCTTAACATTTTATTAAAGTTGAGAAAGATGACCTTAATAATTTGATGTGCTGTCGAATTTTGCATGTAATCTCTATGGAATTATTATTAGGTAACTATTAGAACAGTGTGCCACGTAATTATCTCCGAATAGAAATTTAGAAGATGAGATCAATGAATGGACTTGAATTGGGATATTTATTACGACTATGTTTACGAGAAACATACTAACGTTTTATAAAGCTGTTTCAGAAGACTCTTACGTGTGTGTACAATTTTATAGGATGTATAACATGTTAATGAATTCTGATAACCTAACCTAAACCTACGACAGTTCACAATCTTAAAAGCAGATTATAAACAGACCTATCTTGAATTTTGCGTAGACACAAGTCGAATCACATCAACATAGAAATTAAAGTATATTGAAGAGTGATAGAAAATTAATTAATACGACTTCCAAAAGACATTTAACCAAGGATTACAGTTTTTTTTTAAACAGTTAACCATTAAAACCTTACCGAAGAATAATCTTTTTCTGGTGGCGTGGAGAAGCAGGTCTGGCGGAGGCGGACCCAGAAGCTCCATAATGCAAGCCAGCTGCTCTGCCTCGTTCTCACCCGGGAATAAAGGGTATCCCGTGTGGAGTTCCGCAAGAATGCAACCTGAGGCCAATGTGTTATATTATTGTTTACTTTTTCTGTTTTTGACAGAAACAGTTTTAATACCCTAGATAGAATAAATAATATTAACTTTTAATTGAACTATAAAATGAGTATTATTTTGAATGTGATAAAAAAAGTTGCGGATTGGAGGGTTTTTGATAAAAAAAACCCTCCAATCCGCATTGGGCCAGCGTGGAGGGTCATGGCCCATCCTCCTTAACCATCCATAAGGAAGGCCTGAGCCCCTGCAGTGGGGACGTAAAAGGGCTGATGATGATGATGATGATGAAAAAAAAGTTTCACTTATATTACTTTTGTCTTTTGTACGATATTTACAATGAAGTAAGAAATTTTGTCTTTAAAATGAAAACAAAATAATTGGTTGCACGAACCTGACTAATTTTAGTTTTAATATGCAAGACATATTAAATAAAAACCAACTCAGTTAATATTTGATAACGGCATAACGTTAAAACAAATTCCAATTAAAATTAGTTTTTTATTGTTTAAGTTACTTTAGAGATTATTACAGTAACAGATAAAGACACTAATGTGTACAATTTTAATTATGTAATATATCATTTATATAAAAGTAAACATTTATTTGTTTGCTTTAAGTGAGGTTTGAAACTACTAGGAAGCTCTGAGGTTTCAAACATGTTAATTGAGTAGAGTATTCGGTACTCCATTGTATTGGAAAAAATATTTTAAAACTTTAATATAATCATATTAATCCATTGATAGTGGTTTTTTTTTCTCCCAAAAGTATTATCAAATAAGGGAAAAACATATTTTTATTAATAAACTTAAATGTTCTCGCGAAAACAATCAGTCATGTGACATTTCGAGCAGTGACATCAATTTCCAATAAACATGAGTACTGATTACACTTTAACGAGGTCGTGGACTTATCGTATATTGAAATGTGACGTCACACGTTGCATCGTCACGGTTTTCTGCGTTCTTGTTAACCCACAGTTTATAAATCTTGATTTAATATTGAAAAACAAAATATACTTTTTATTTTTCAACAAAAAATACTACATAGTTATTATTTACATATAAGTTACCATTATCAACATATTTCATAACTAGCTTTCCGCCAACAGCTTCGCCTGCGAAGTCCATACAAGCTTCACCCTCCTATTTAAACCCTCTTAGGGATCAATTTCCAAAAATTTTCTCATTTACTTAATGAAAGGAACCCCTGTACCAAATTTCAAGTTTCTAGGTAGTAGGTAGTTTCGGCTTTGCCAGAATCAGTCAGTCAGGTTTGCCTTTCATATGGATAGATTTATTGTTATATATACAAAACATGTCCTAGCACTAGATGAGATGTGATAATTGGTTGATTATATGTATAATGACAACGCGTCCGACCATCTGTTACGAAATGGTAGAAAGTGGTAGAGAAAGGTGACCCGTACATCTGCGCGACGACCGACGCACGGCCAACTTGTTTTTACGCAATATTAAACATGTGGCTGCAATGCAAACTGCGTTATGGTTTATAAATAAACAAGCTTTCCGCCAGCGGCGTCGTCCGCATGGTCCCTAGGGAACAGTTTGTTTGGATATCGATTAGTATCATGACATGGTTATAATTACAATGACAAATTGAATAGTTAACATTGGTTACTATGGTAACATTTTAATTCCCTATACAAACTTTTTATATAACGTAGCTTCCGTTATAAATATATGTTGTTAAGAATTAGATTGATATTTATATTTAGCTGTAATATTATTATTATTAAATAGATGTTTATAACTCTATTTTCACACCTAAGAGATGTTTTTCACATTTAAAATCGTGAGTAGATACGGATTAATATATGAAGACGTACCTAAAGAATCTTCCACGGAAATGACAGTAAGAAAAAGGTTTAACTATAACCCGCTACATAACTAAAACAGTAAACAAAGAAATACCTTCACGGCGCTACACACACTTTAAATTTTTAGGGAATTCATAGTCATGTGTTGACAAAAAGTCAGCTCAGTCTCTTTCATGAAACAAGTGAAGGACAATTTCCCACAAGCTGGATTTTTCTTTATTTTAGTAGGTACTTTGTCGCTCCGTTCTTATTGTTCCGTATTTATTTATTAAATACACTCCGCTATTTGTCCTTAGTTGGTAGGTATAGTTTCCATTAGCCAAAATTGCCTGGTAGAAATTGGTACCTTAACAATAAATCCGCCTTTTGCAAATGTTTGTTTTAGTGAAATAAAGTATATTCAATCAATTAACCAATTCAATCGAAGAGACAAACAAAAGCAATTTTAATTTTACTGGGATTCAACATACCCATGCTCCACATATCAATAGCTGTGCCGTACTGTAGTCCAAGGATCACCTCTGGGCTTCTATAGAATCTTGACTGTATATATGTGTAGACTCTCGCATGTGTGTAACACGAGCTGCCAAAGTCTATCACCTTGATAGACGAGCTACCCCTCGCTTTAAGCAGGATATTCTCCTGAAAACAAGTTATAGAACATAATAACCAAATTGATCACAGATATGAATTCAGGGGTGGCTAGAAGGGGTGGAGGACGCCACTTCTGAGGTAGTACTCCGTATTTAGACGGTTCCGTTAAACGTAGTACGCAGCAAAATGTTTGTGTTCTATAACAAAATACGCATAGTACTTATATCACATTACAGGCGTTCCTCAATAATTTTACATTCGAGTTTGCATCAAATATCATTGATCAGTGTAACTGAGCCATTAACCATCTAATTTACTATGGGACAATGCATTGAGGACGCCTGTAAATGAATATGGTAATGAATTCAATGATAACATTAACTCACAGGTTTGAGATCACAGTGTATGATATTCTCGGCCTCCAGCAGCCTCAGGCAGCGCAGCAACGAACTCGCAAACCGCCTGATCAGGCTCAAGCTGAACCCCTGGTACTTGTTTTTCTTTATCAACTCGTACAGGTTTATACTGGACAAATAAAAACAACTTGGCATTAAATAACAAGAAATGGGATTCACTTTATTAATCCAATAAACCTTTTTACCAACAATTAGATTAGCTAATTAAATATCATTTTAAACTATTTCAATTAAATCTTTAAACATTTTTGGACATAACAGTAATTTTGCAGTTATCATTACAGAAGTCTGTAGTTTAAAAAGGTATTTTACAGAATGTAAACAAAAGAGTTACTACTACTATAATTTTAATTTGTGACGTAATAATGTCATCTATCTCTCTATATCTTCACGCTGTATCTATTGAAGTGTAATAACACAGATTATATAGTTTTTGTAATAAAATCCTACTCATTATAAATCAAATCAACTGTTCAACACCTGCTAATTCTGACATTGTTAATATTTTTATCTCGATTTTGAATTTAAAAGATTATGTGTTATGAATGAATATAAAATAGATAACATGGTACTAAAATAAAAATAATTAATGATATAGATACGATGTGATGGAAACATCGAGTATTTGAAAGCAATTTATTACACCGCGTATTTGTAAGTCGCAGAATTATAATATTTATTAAGCAAATAAGTCGTAAGTTTACTTTTACATTAAATTATAAAACACCAAGCAAACAAACAACACTCATGTGCAGTCAGGAAAAGTATTCAAACTAGATCAAATAATCTTTTTTTGCCCAATAATAATAAAGAGAAAAGAACTTTAATTTGCCGTAACACAAACTGCTCTGACACGGTCTTTTATTCTTATCGACGACATCGTCCTTTAACTTTTGACAAATACAACCTACTTTTAAAAATAATTTCAAACAAAGGAACCCCTTTTCAAGGACACTTATTTTTACAAAGTGTAATGTTTATTTTTATTCTGGCACGACAGTCTTACTACACCTAATAAAATTTAAAAGCAAATCAATTATTATTATTATGTAACATTAACGGTCAGTTGCACAAACGTCCATTATGATTTAATGACTCCTTTAAGCTCTAATGAATGTCAAATTTGTATGGGTAATGTCGTTTTAAACTAATAACAATTTTAATGGACGTTTGTGCTACTGGCTGTATAACTGTCAGAAGTTAAACCTAAAAAAAGACGTATAAAGTTTGTTCACATTAATTTTAAAGAACCCAAGGTCGGATACCCGTGTGGAGGAAATCTGATCCACAATTAATGATGTGGCAAACATAAGATTAGCAAATATTTTAGTACATGGTGGTTTCGGCCTACTTTCTCTGTGATAACAACAGCGATCATTGTAAGTAAAATCATAAATCTTCTCGTTTGAAATATACATCTTACAGATTTTCGTCGGCAATCAATAAACAATTTGGCAACCTTCCGATATTTAGCAATAGATACCTCCCCACCATATTAATGCATCCAAGAAATTATGTGAAGTCAAATAGAAGCCGATATCTCAAGGTTTATATTCCCGTTTTGGAGGAAATATATCTATGGAAAAACCTTATTCGTTTACTGTAAACCGTTATACTGAGATGAAACAAAATTACACTGATTCCTTTTGAGAATTTCCATTCAATCTATTTAGTACCTCTGTTGGCTAAAGAAATGATTTTGTTTTGTGATAATTAAGTTTATTCGAATTTACAGTTTCTATATTATACCTTGATAACAGTAGAAGGTATAAATGGAATACTTATCACTATAAAAAATAAAAACCGACTTCACAAAGACATATCTTTTGGATGGGTTATTAATGTTAATCACCTCAATTAATTAAAAAGTTTATGAACATTTAAAAGCACTTTTGAAAACTTCAACTTTCGTGAAAACTACATAAAAAATCAGTCTACCATTCGAAGTGTAATTACGAGTGTTAATCGAATATAGAACCTTTTCCTTCTCTAGTCGGTTAAAACGAATATAAGTTCAAAACGTCTAATTACAATACTGTCGTCATCCATCGACACAAAAAATAAACATAACTCTGTCCATCTATATCTTCTGGTCGTATCTTTGGCGTGGTCGGCAGAAAGGACCGAACACCAAAATGTACGGTGCTTACATACATCTTTCACCTCGTCCACTTTCATTACTCTTTTCAAACATCCCGCCGGTTTCTATGGCTTTTGACATCACCTTCTAAGAGCACGCGATTAATTTGATCGTGAAAGGTAACTGTGGCTTCAAATACAAACCTCATTAGCTCGAAACTGATGCACAAGTGATTCCTGAAGTAAAAATAGTCGAGCATATGTATGACGTTGTGCGACTGGTCTTTGTCCTTGAGCCGCAGGTGGTCCAATACCCGGACCTCGACTAGCGCCTGATGGTGGAACCTCTTCTTGTTACGTATGATCTTAATGGCCACCTGGGTGCCGGTGCGGTGGTCCAAGGCCCGTATCACCTGGCCGAACGAACCTTTACCGATAACTTCCAGTATTTCATATCTATACGCTATGTGGTCGTGGATTTGCTGGAATCGAAGAAAATATTCCATAAAATATACTTATAATTAATGAGACATCATTACCATCACCACCAGCCTATTAATGTTCCCACTCCAGCAGTGTCTTCCATATGGATATAATGAGAACGGGCCATGACCCACCACGCGGGCTCAGTGCATATTGGTGGTTATTAACAACTGCAGATGCATGTGAGTAACGGCTTAGGAAAATTTTTGGTCACCCATCCTATGAACGGCCATTGTGAAAGTTGCTTAACAATCGTATCGCAGATCGATCGCGCTAATTACTGCTCCGTTGAGCTCAAATTAATGAGACATACCTACGATCCAACAATACATATTTCATTCTACATTCCTATACGTTTAATATGTCCTTTTTGTTGATTTGGGATGGACAATTAACCTATAATCTGATATACTAATTTCAACTCTACTATAGGTATATTAAAGAACCTTTGTCAATGAATTAAGCATTGCAATTGCAACTCGTCTGACAGAACTCTCATAGCAACTCTTGTTACTAATTAAGTTACTTCGAATTTGTTACGAGTCTTAGCTCGAGCAACTTTCCTTTTAATTATACCTCTTTAGTTATAAGCATAACACCTTTCTGGAAAAGTTTATCAGCTACCGTTTTGTGTTACATTTTATTTTATTTGGATGTTAACCTTATTGATCTTAACATTTTTCCAACATACATTTTGTTGTTCTGTTGTAAAGATGGTTCTCAAATTTCTCAGGGGTATTCGAGTAGTTCGGTGGCGTAGTGAAAAAACGCTGTGGCCCGCAGTCATTGTTGTTAAGCAACTTTATTAGGGTCGGTAACGAGATGGATGACCAAAAACTTACTATCTCGAGCTACTGCGTGCTTCGGAAGGCACGTTTAGCCGTTGGTACCGGCTGTGTTTACAGTCGTTAATATTCTCCAATCCGCAGTGGGCCAGCGTGGAGGGTTGTAGCCCATCTTCCTTAGCCATCCATAAAGAAAGCCTGAACCCCCGCAGTGGGGACGTAAAAGGGTTGATGATGATGATTCAAGTGTCACATAAACACCAAAAGGGAGGGTCAAGCATATTATAACCGGTCGCGAGTACCAGAGATAGTTGAATTTATTAACTATATATTTTACAAGAAATTTAAAAGAACTTCAACAGACAGTCAACTTGTCTTGTATTATTAATGTACAGCTAGGGGTAATATTAGTGTACAGCTTCTCTTGTAATAATGTCCGCTTTGTCTTGTCAAAAATCAAAATTGTTTTTTCAGTTCAGGCTTTTACAGAGCACTTGTGAAAGTCGAAAACTACGCCATGGTTTGCGAAACTACGGCGGGAGACCTTGTACTAAGAAGAACCGGAAAGAAACAGCAAGGGCTGCTCTTTTCTCCCTGTTTTATTTTACACAGAGAAGTCTTATTGAAATGTGACGTCATTAGATTATGAAGTCACATTCCATTACAATATTAGGAATAAGAGAGATATTTACGATAAGTGATTAATATGCCGATTATATATATATATGTATTAGTGTATAGCTTGTGTAGTATTATTATTTTTAATTAGCTTGTATAATATTAGTGTACAGCTTGTGTTGTATCAGTGTACAGCTCGTGTATTATTAATATACTGCATTCTTTCATTATTTTATAGCTTGTCTAGTATCAATATTTATTCTTTGATCAAAAATAATTTATTTAACAAGGTAATAATTTATTTTTAATAATTTATTTTAAATAAATATATATTATATTATCAGTATTGTTACCTTATTATAGCTGCCGTTCTCGTCATCGAAGCCGCAGTTGTTGGGCAGGTTTGCCTTCGCCTGCACCTTGTTCGCGTCCAGTCCCAGGAACCACACCTCAGGGTACTTCCGGATCTCGTTTCGCTCCCACTCCGTTAGCCGATCGCAGTACAGCTTCAGAGATTCTGTGCCAAACCAGACAACAAGTTAGATGACTCCTGACTTAATCTTTTCATGTAGTAAGTCTAGATACTGATGACATTATGTACAATACTAATTAATTAGTGAGGTACAAAGTAAAATTGTAGCTGATAGTATTTTCTTGTTTCAAAGGTCATTGTCAGTTGCTGCGCCAGCGAAGTACATAATCACTACATATTATAAAACAAAGGCCGCCGCCGCTTCTGTCCGTCTGTTCGCGATAAACTCGAAAAGTACTGAACGGAATTTCATGCTGACAAACTGACGATATTTCAATGATATTAGTTCAATATGTCGGAAAAAAATTAAGCCGATCGGAAGCTTTCCTCGAAAACTCTGCCAAAAACTTTTGAGTAATAATAAGAAAATATTGTATGGTGGAATTGTACCTCTTTAATAAATCTCCAAAAACGTCCGCGGTGGTATATGTTTATATTCCAAGCATAACCCAATATAACCATTTTTTACGTATACTTAAAACAGTAAAATGAAGGGATATTTACGAATCTATTTTTAACAATACAGTATTAATCTTTATTCAAATAACTAAGTTGGATACGTTATGGATATAACGTAGATCAAAATTACCTTTTACATTATATAAAAAAAAACTAATGAGTTATCGAAAAATAAAAAATGTGTGGGCGAGCTATTAAATATCGATGAATAAAAATGAATCGCCGAAACGTATGTACGCGCATAATTTCCGAATTCCAGTTCCGACCGCACCAAATTGTATGATTCTATTTTTATGTGTTCCACGATTTGCATATAAGTTTTTTTTTAAACGTGTATAAGGCTGTACGAAGTGCGCTAGTACTAACTAGTACTCATATAAAAAGAGGGAAGATATTCTTTTTGGTGACGCCAACTCTAAACAATATTTATATAACTCCTACGTGTATTCTTGTCTATGAATGAGATAAACAGTGGCCAATAGTATAGTGAATTGACAGATGCGACAATAACGTAAAAAATACAGGTCCTTAATTACTAGCATGGTATAAAAATATCCCACCAAACAGAATTCATATAAAATATTGTTAAGAGAGAGCTAAACTTCTAACTCTACATGCCTATATCTACAAGCCCTAACTTCTTTAGTCACATGGACATTATTTTTCTGTTATTATAATAGTTCTTTTAGAAACTAAACTGCCAAGTCACGGGTACGTATGTTTTGTAAATTAAGTAGTCAAATGATTAAAAAAATCGTCCAGTTGCACTTCGGACTCTCGCACGAGTTACCGTACCATTATATATGAAGAATCCAAAAACATCACGTTTGTTGTATGGGAGTCCCCTTCCTTGTCTAACTATCACGGTCCATAACAATCAGCCTGGTGACAGACGGACGGACAGCGAATTTAGTTACAAGGTACGTTTTACACTTTGGGTGCGTGGTAAATAAGAAACGTATATTTAAATGTATTTTTTAATTAATTGATTTAAAGGATCTGTTTTTGCCGACATACATTAGTTGTCAACAGATGGCGCTACTAGATTAGTCTATAATTAGACGTTCTGTTTTACCGATCGCTCTCTCTCTCAACTCAAGATGGTTCGTGCTTTTTGTTCTCCTAATAACAATTTAATTAACAATTTAAGATCCTCAATTCAAGGACTGATACTCAACAGTGCGGAACCCTAAAAAATTAAGTTAAACAATGTAATTTTAAATATTAATACATATTTTCCAAACTTGATATAATGTACAACGAAAATACAAACATAAAAGTCACGAGAAAATAAAGTCACCAGTCGAAAATACTTTAAAGTGGTATTTTCCCAAAACAGCAAAGTTTAATTTCCTCAACGATTGCTACTGTGTACATAAAGCAATCCCAGGGGCAAATATTCGGACCTCATTAAACATAGCTTTAAGCTACTCTCCCACGCACTGAAATATATCTGGAGTACAGCGGTACGACTCGGACAAATTTCATGTTAGTATCATTTTAATACAATGATTCTAACCTCCGTTTTCACTTACCTAGAGCTAGACATAGCTTGAGAAGGAAACGCCTAATCTTACGAATCGCCTTAGCAATTTAGTTACATGCCATATATATTTTTTTTTCCTTTTTTTTATATTCCGCAAATTACTAGCATAACGCATATCATAACTTTAGCCATTACTTGATGTCCTTAGGTCCATCATTGACGGAATACATTTTCATCATAGTCGATTCCTAAATATTTAAACGACTGATTTAGACGACTCCGAAGTTTAATGAAAACGGGCGTTAATTTCATTTAACACTCTATTATTCAAACGTCCTTTAAGGTTAAATGACAACCGTAAACTTGAATAAATATTTTAAATAAGCATGATGACTTCTTTTTCTTAGTCGGTCTGCCACGTAGATTACTGAAAAATGTTAGATACTTGCGTATTTTTTGCGTAATCAATTTTCTTTTTTTTTTTCGAGCTTTTGTCTTTAAAACACGACAGCCAAATGCGTAATCAATTAATTACGGTGATACATTGAATCGAAATGTCTTAATATCTGTCTTTTATTTAACTGACAGACTAATCTTAAAATGAATTTTATTTTTTAATATCAATTACTATTGGTCGGCTTGTTTCGAGAATTTTAAAGATTTTTTGTTTTTGAACTGGGTATATCATTCTGTACACTTTTGGTTTATCTTATGGCAATAATTCATTTCATTGTACTACGTACCTAGGTTGTTCGATAATATTTTGTGGCATTCTATATATTCCTATAATTACACAAACGTTTAATGATGATTTTAAGCTGTAATGAATGTGCTAAATTAAAAAACATTATCAGTAATGTTGCTTGAGTTTATGACAACGGTGTGTTAAATCCACAGCCTATTAAAATAAAACAAATAAGTATGACGTATCCCATATGTAGTGATTAAGTACCTATATTTTTTTTTTGCACCAACGACAAAAAAGTAACTCGGTAAGGTTTTAATCATATTACGAGAGTATCTGATGCCTTCGGGTGCCCTACATATTCCTAGGTCAAGGTCGGGTCTCTCATCTTAGAGATACACGTGTCACCAACATAAGACACACTTCAAGTTTGACAAAACTCTTAGTGTCTCATCTCAAGATCTAGTAAGTGAGATATTTTAACTAATTATTAAGAGAAGTTTAGTGTGTCAGATTATCTCAGAAATTTTCGTAAAAAGGACTCAAAAACTTTTTGTTACATTATTCGTATTATGGTTTCAATTTTAGTAAAAAGTAATTAAACCAGTTTGTATACTAGTAATGGAAAATTGGAGATCAACTAACAAATCGGTTGCTTGATCTCCAATGTTATATGTTTTTGTAAAACATATGTTGCGTGTGGTATTTACTTGTAATTGTTTGATAAGTTTTTCCTTGTGTTCTAAATAAAGTTATTATATATTAAATGTTTGTTAATGAGAATAAATAAATAAAAATAAAACAATTTCTTCTATTGTTTGCATCGTATTGGCTTCGAAGCATCTCGACGCTTATGTTCCTATACAAATACACATCGAGAGTAAAGATGCGCTCGCTTGATTGCATACATTTTTAAACACAGAAAAAAATAATTAATCGAAACTTATTTTGGATACATTTTTATAAAGCATGAAATCTAAATATATATAACTCAAAGGCGACTGACTGACATAGTGATCTATCAACGCACAGCCCAAACCATTGGACGGATCGGGTTGAAATTTGAAATGCAGGCAGATGTTATGACGTAGGCATCCGCTAAGAAAGGATTTTGATCAATTCTACCCTCAAAAGGAAATTTATCCCCTATTTTATAGGGAATGAAATTTTGTATGAAACTTTGTCAATTTTAAACCGATCGGGCTGAGACTTTGCATACATGAAGCTATTATGACGTAGGCCCTAAGAAAGAATTTTGATAAATTCCACCCCTAAGCGAATAAAATAGGGGATGAAAATTTGTATAAATCTACTTAGATTTTCGACTGATTGAGCTGAAATTAAAGATTGAAGCTACTATGATGAAGATGTCCGCTAAAATTGGATTTTGATAAATTCAATCCCCATGGGCATAAAATAAGGGATGATGGAGGATGTAAATGAATTATTTTGTACCTATCAGTACCTAATGGAACGAATAAATAAATATTCGTTATAAATACTGCTCAAAGTAACTTTACCACGGTGACGAAGTCGCGGGCAAAAGCTAGTATATAATAAGACGAAATGTATTAGTGGTAAAATCGATCCAAAAATCTATTTAGATTTATCTTTATTATTTCTTCTATCGAGCCAATTGTTGAAATATATGTTTCTGTTTTTATCAACACATTTATGAAGTAAAATGATTTTTGTTTGGCAAATATTGGCATAGCTTTAGAATAAAATTGGTTTATAAAGTGTTTATTTCGTACAGCCTTAATTTACGCGGGTGAAGTTGCGGTAAACAACTAGTATGTTATAAATTTACAATGTATTCACGGATAGGTTGCAAATTTGCGAAATAACCAATGAATACAAAATATAGCTAAAGCAATCTTTTTAACAAAATTCTCTGGAAGTGGTGAATGAAACATTATTACACAAACATTAACTCATATAAGTATAAATGCGGGTAGGCAGTACAAAATAAAACGGTAAAATATTGAGCTACAAAACAAAAATTTCTAAAGATTCCCTAAATATATCTAATATTTTTAGCTGACGTTGAGTACCGCTTTTGATGTCAAGGTCGGGTCAATCCGTGATACAAGGACCGTTTTTCACAAGTTCTTATTTAACTTTCAGAGTATGGGCGTTCGCTAAATCTTGCAATTGAAATTTGAAGTAAGAAGTTATCCTCAACATATTACGCTGAAATTTGGCACTCAGGGGTGCTACCGCCGAACTGTAGCCATAGAATATGATAGTTACCAATGTTTCGGTGATATATCATTGCATTTTACCACTATGATTTAGAGTAGCTCGATGGCGTAGTGGATAAGCGCCGCGGCCCGCGATCGTTGTCGTTAAACAACTTTCGCAAGGGTCGGTCACGGGATGGGTGACCAAAAAATTATTATCTCGAGCTACTCCGTGCTTCGGAAGGCACGTTAAGCCGTTGGTCCCGGCTGAATTTGCAGTCGTTAATACCCTCCAATCCGCATTGATCAGTCAGCGTGGAGGGTCATGGCCCATCCTCCTTAACCATCCATAAGGAAAGCCTGAGCCCCTGCAATGGGGATGTAAAAGGGCTGATGATGATGATGACTATGATTTGATATGATTGGTGGATAAATGAACTAAGTTGGTAGTACTGCTGTCAAATGCGTAATATTCATTCTTTATCATTCGTTCCTTGTTATTAAATCATATGTCAAAGTATGTACCTAGAATCGTCATAACCACGGAATAATAACTCATAACATCTCTTAGATGTCGTATCTTAAGAATATATTATTGTTAGATTACAATGATTAGTAGCTAAGTTACATCATTAAAAATCTATTAAGGCAAGCGGCACAACATAGCGGCATAGTATTTTTTTCGTGTACTGTGTGTGAAAAGGTTTGTAATAACCAGTGGTCGGAATTAGGTAGAGTTATTCATGTACTTACACTGATTTCATACAGCGAAAGAATAAAGTGGATATGCCTCAAATCACGAGATTAATTTTAAAGAGTAGAAAAAATCCCGTGATTTTTTACATAAAAAGTTATTTACTTTTACACAATTTAAACTACTGCACGCACGACGTTGCCAAACTTACATCAATGAAAGAAAGAAATAAAGAAATCCCGGGAAGGTCCACACTAATATCAACATTTCGATGCAAGTACATAACTAACTCTACCTAATTCCGACATCTGGTAATAACAAACCTTTTCATTTGATGCCCATATCATACCATGACAATTAAGAAATATCTTTAAAAAGATTTTATTTAAATGTACTAGAAAATAATTCAATACAATGTTATGTGTTGTAGATTTATTGTAGATACGAGTAGGTACATAAAAGTAATGCCAGCTCAATGAAACTTGGCGCCTTAGGCAAAACGCAGGTACGACACGCCCATAAAAGGTCACAAAGTATGAAATACTAGTGTTGTTCCTACTAATGTTCCTACACCGATCGAAGGGTGTAATTTTGCCCATAACAAAATAAATTCCATAGGTACAGCTGCTCTGAAAATTGTATACGTTAGAATATCACGGACATGGACTCCAATTCAAAGAATAATAATAAATTTTTTGAAGGTTTTTTTTATGGAATAGGGAGCAGGCGAGCAGACGGATCACCTGATGGTGAGTGATTACCGTCGCCTATGGACACGTGCAACACCAGAGGAGCTACAAGCGCGCTGCCGGTACCTACTCAATTTTAAGATTCAAATAATTAGAACAAATATTGAAATACAAGCTCCTTATGCGGCTGACTAGTTTGCCTATATCGACAGGCCGGCCCTGCATAAAAACCGTTTTGTTGATAGCTTTATTTATATTCCTAACCAATTTTTTTTTTATAAAAATACAACTAGTCGAAAATTAAAACTAAATAATCTATCTTTTTAATTTCAAAGCAATTTTCCGTTAAAATACTTGCCAAATTGCTTTGAACAGTAACTTTAAATGGGTAATTTTGTAGATGGGTGACATATTTCAATCACACTTTCAAGACAATGATTATTCTCTAGGGCATGACAGCACTTAATTAACTGTGCCCTTGTGTTGGAGGAGATGAATCAATTCAGTGGCAACTTGACAGGTTCGACTAAATAATTCTGGGAAACCGCTTACAAGTGTGACATTAAAAGCTCATTTTCATTGGTCGTTGTACTCAGGTTGTACTGCACGCACGGCCTCCCACAAAGAACCTCTTTACTGTACTGTAATATAACTTGATAATGAAAAGAAGAAAAAATGCGATATCTCTCTCTTTCTATTGACATATGCGTGTGTAGGACAGCTTTAAACTAACTTTTTAATCTTTGCCCTATTTTTTTTTATTAATGTACCAACGATGTACCAACCAGGTGCCTAGGAAAATGCAAATCATAAAGTAAGTTTCACAGTTATCTAGGTTATAACAATTTACGTAATAAGTACACTCGTATAGTCAACAGTGCGTCAGGCTTTACAGAACTATAAAACCCTATGCGTCTTCAATAAAGTACAAAATCAATTGAGGAAATTTGCAATATTGTCGTAACCTGACGTGCATGTGTATGTGTACATACTGCAAAGGCAATTTAAACAAAGACATGTATGTATTTAATTACTTAATCTACACTATAAGAGTCTAATGGTCAGTTTCTGAAAAAAGTCCGGCCTGAGAAAAGTACAAATCCCAACTGTTTATTCTCAATAGCTCTTTACGTTTTACATAGCAAATAGTCCTAGTTTTATCAAACTGCTATAAGCCGAATTAAAACAATTGACATAATATTCGTTTTTTTAATGGTATTAAACTAGGACTTTTTGCCTTGTGGAATAATTAATTGAGATTTTGTACTTTTCTCAAAGACAGAAACCGGCTGTTAGTATATAATAAAAAAAAATAGAAAAAATAATGTACTTAATAAAAAATGCTTAACAAGCCACTTTGTCCCTGGCATTCTGAGATGGGACGAACCCATGACCTTTTGCAATAGTTCCAACTGCTCCAAGCAGTCGCCCGGATCTTTTCAACTTATATTTCTAAGAGTAAGAGTAAATTTCTCGATTTATAATAAAATTTATGATTCATTATTTTCATTCTGAGAAAAATGTCATTTAAAGTACCTACCTACCTTTGGATACCTATAGATACCTACCTACGATAAAAATATTTAGTACATAAACTTATCATCTTGTAATGCATCTTTTGAACAAAACTTTACTTAACTTGAAAGAGTAACCATTTTGTGGTATTATTTCTTGTTTTTTAAAAGAGCAAGGTAGGTATTTCCTTGCCATTTTTTTTCTATTAGCTTCATACTCAAAAGCCTAAACAATAAATTGCAGCAATTTTATTTCGTCAACTTCCACTGCAAGGATTCAACAGGCGCATCACTTTCCGTTTTTTTTTATATTGATCTAACACTTAATATTTTGTAGCTTATAAGTAAGTTAAAATGGAATATATTTTTGTTTTATAAGTAATGGCAATGGTGTATAAATAATTTCTATGATGTGTGTCATTGTGATGTAGAACTAGTGTGCCCTAGATTGGAAGCATAGACTACACAGCCTATGATTGAAAGCAACGATGACTAGTTGCTTTGAGTTCCAGTCATGTTCCAGTAGACACGTTGTTCATGATCAATTCTTATTTTACTTACCAAATGACATTGCTGCTATTTTTAAAGAATATATTATTTGTAATATAAGTTTCGTTATTTACGAGAGCTATTTATTGCCGCTGAATATATAATATACGTCCAAGCGTTTCTACAAGAACAAACCAGGGGGCCAATTCTACTAAATAAATTTAGTTTAAATCGAATCGAAAACGGATCGAAACCGAACGAAACTACAGTTTTTAATGGTTTTCCTATTCTACAAAGTGATATACGATACAACTTCAATTCTATTTTGTTCCACTTCTATTTTAGCTGGAATTGTATCGTATGTCACTTAGTAGAATAAAAAAACCATTAAAAACTGTAATTTCGTTCGGTTTCGATCCGTTTTCGATTATATATAGAATTGGCCCCCAGTATGTTTATCATGTTAATTGTTAGGTGTATTGTCATCGGCATTATCCGAAATTAAATAATGTTTAGGTCAACATATATTTTATATATAAACATATTTTTAGCTAAAAGTATTTAAATAACATAGTGGATTACTTGGACATATGACTCTAACAACCAACTCGTAACAAATTACCAAATAAACAAAATCAAAATTTATCACCTCTGATTATTACTTTACTAAATTAATGCAATAGTAACCTATAAAAACGATTGCTATGTAATCGTGAACATAATCGATATACATCGCTAATTAGGTGATTATAAAAAACGAACTGTGAAAAAGTATACACAAATCAGAAATGGTTCGAATTTGGGTAGGTACACTACTAGTTATCTAATAGCGATCGAAATAAATATTAAATTGCACAAATCCTACAGAAACTTTATCTTCATATTGCTTAATTTATTGCGTTAAAATTAAATTAATTCGATAAAAGAACTAATTCGAATTATGTTTTGCAAACGTGCGATCTTTGTCATTTTGCTATATCTATTCGGTACAATACTCAGTTGGATATCTTGTAGCATTGACATTGCTCAAGAGTAGCTGTGTCGGTCGTAGTGGATAAACGCCGTGGACTGCGATCGATTTTGTTAAGCAACTTTCGCAGGGTTGGTCACGGGAAGGGTTGCCAACCGTACTATAATATATAGTATTGTACTATATTGCGGGTCTTCATACTATATATTTTTGGAGAAATATATAGAACGCAAAAATACTATATTTCCAACACAAATAATTAACAAATAAATTCTTCATTTTAAAATATGAATGAATTCGAACGCAATTACAGGTTTTATATGAATAATTTCTGTAGAAACGAACTTATACTTTCAATTGTATGATGATGTAAACAGATAGTAGAGAGTTCTCAATAAGTTTGGATATGTCAGTGTTTGTTACTCAATTAAGTCAAAATGGCTGAACGACTTTGGATGAGGGGCAGAAATGGACACTAGAATACCATATAAGCTATACAAAATCATGGAGAATTATACAGTTTCTTGGGTTATACGGGCGGAAGATTGGCACTATTCGTGTGTACTATATTTTTTGTAGCTCACTTTGAAAAATACTATAATTTACTGAAAAAATGTTGGCAACCCTAGTCACGAGAAGCTACTCAGTGCTTGGGAAGACACTTTAAGCCGTTGGTGCTGGCTTATCCTCCATAACCATCCATAAAGAAGAGCCGAGCTCCTGCAGTGGGGACGTAAAAGGGTTGATATTCGACATTGCTCTATGATTTTATTGCATCAATATTTCTTTAATACCAACTTACTATCTTATATATTTTGATTTGGAGTCCTTTGTGCCTAAATAGATAAATAATTTTTAAAGCATTTGTAATTATAAATAATAATACAACATCATACATTACATGGGTCTGGGGAGCGACCGCCTAAATCTAGCTCTCCGCCTTTCTATTATTGTTGTGCAGGGTCCATAGTGAGACTAACTTAATTGTATAACATTATTTTAAATTGCCTATAGAAACAATAAACTTATTGAGTATGAAGTAGCCGTACAATACGACATATTAGCGATGTTGCGGCGATATTTCGTTTCATATTACTAATTTGGCATTAATTTTTGGTGATTAAATGACTGGTAACCTATCTTACTTTCGAAACTTTAATGTACGAATTTCAAAACTTCGAAAACGGTATAACGAAGTTTTGAATACCAGGATATGTTTTTTGACATAATATTCTATGTAATAAATTTATTTTACACATGTTTCATTTTCCAGAAAAATTAAAAGACGATTTTCAAAAGCTGTGTTTTTCTTTTTACAGATGTATTACTTTCAATATTTTTTTTATTCTAGATGTATGAAATATCGAAGTAATCTGTACCCTATTTTTACTAACGCACTTATTTATTTCTCAACATTATTTATTGAAAAAAAAAACAAGTTTTTATATATCGTCTGATTTATTTTTATAGAAAAAATAAATTCGAATCCGAATTAAGGTTTAAGACATTGGTTTATTCAGTGCTTAATTTTGTGCAACAAAATGTATTGACAGAAATAAATCGCTGCAAAACCGACTTCACGTAGTCTTGTCTGCCCTAACACACATATAAAAGTGCAATTTAAGCCCGCGTAGGCGCGGAGGGGCAAAGCGGCCCGCGAGTTGAGGGTGAGGTTTTCACCGCAGTGACACCGCAGGTGGTGAAAATCATCTGCGACGATAAACTCGCGTGGGACCGCCGGCGCCTCGCAGCGCCGGAGCCGTGACAGAAACAATGCCTGGTTGCATGCCTGATTGCATGCTTGGTTGTATGCCTGCTTGCATGCTGCATGTCTGCCTGGTTGCTGCATCCAGCTTGCATGATTAACGCCTACTTGAATGCTGCATGCATGTTTCAACTGAACCATATCACTTATCAAGTTATTGAAGATTATAATAAAATAGGTAGGTACTTATAATAATAAGAATTTGAAGATTATTACCTGTAAAAGTGTCCAGTAGTTTATAGAAATAAACAGGTATCATCTAAAGGCAGAAAGCTAAGTGCCAATAAACATTTAACATCCATTTTAAAAATAATTTTCTGGAAACTAAATCGTCTAAATATGTATATTTATCAAAGGTTGAGTAAGATTTAAAAACGTATTGATTTTAAAAATATGTATATTTGAAAAACGGATTATCAGCTATATGTCAATTGTTTTTTCGGTGAAATGAAAATATGGAAAACAAAAATGTGGCAAAACGTTTTCGGTTTATTGAAATTCGCACTGAAAAAATTCAATTTTAAAATAGGTAACCTAAATGACTTCGTTGAAAGAAAGAAAGAAGTTTATTGACCCCACATACATAATTATAAACATGAAAAAAGAAAAAATGCGAAGCCAATATGGACCTTTATCTCAGCAAAGGGCCCTGTATCCATTCATAGATGGGCAGAATGATACTAAGGGCGCAGTTATATAAGTTGGTAACACTGCTGTGATATCCATTTGTATCATTCTAATAATTCGTTTGTCGTTTTTAATGGAAAAGTCAGAGTAGTAAAATATTTTACGATATCGTCATACGATCTCAGTAATGTATGTGATGGTGTTTATTGTTAATATAATTACATGCATTTAACCCGCAGTCATATAAACTACATTTCTGGTTACAATAGAACGTTGCAGGTGAGTGTCTCATTAGTAGGTGCTCGGTTTTTTCTTCCCAATTAAACGCGCCCATTGACCCACTTCCGAGGGGAGAGCGCTCGTGATAATTGTCATCTAGGCCTCCGTGATCAATACTACATGATATAATTAATAGACGAAAACGTACATACTGGTATATCACTTACTTACTAAATAACTTAATTATCAAGTAGGTAATAATATGATTAATAAGATATATGCATTAATATCTGAATCTCTGGTCATACTATATGTCACTCGACGTTGTCAATAATTTTTTTTATATTTCTTTTTATTATGTATATAGTTGCTTAATAAATAACGACAGCTATAGATTACGTGTCGATATCGAAAAAGCTTATTTTTACGTAATAATCGCATTTCAAAAGAATTACTTGCATTTTTCCTTTGTACTATCTATCTTAAGTCCAGTATTATGAGTGCAAATTCTTCTTCAAAAATCAGAGTTGCCAGATATATTTATTATTTCGTGATCTAGCAACAAGAATTGTGTCATTATAGTTGAAACGTTATTGGCTTTACATAATTATGGTAACATTAGCAGAATTAAAGATCTGAATCAATTTATAAATTAATGAAGTCACAGCTTTAAAATTGTAAAAGTGAACTTTACTTACAAACTCGGAGGGTCATTTACTGAGTTTGAATATAGTAAAAAAAAATTGTTGATTCCCTTCGAGGCAGAGTTGAGACGTCATCCAATATTAATATAATTTTAAACAGAGTCTAACATCGACTAAGAACAAAAACTTTTTTCATTAAATTTTGATAAATGACTAATTTATTGTTGTCATTTATTTCAGCCTTCGCAATAGCCACGATTTTTATTAGACTTTTATTAGACATAAGTATAAATGAAATGAAAATATCTTTATTCAAGTATGCTTGTTACAAGCACTCTTGAAACGTCCAAAAATTTTTTTTCCCCTACCACTTGTTCAGGACGTCTTTTAGCTGACAAGAAGAACAAGCGAAAGAAACTTACCAGCTCTTTATCATAAGTAATGACATTTAAAAAATCATGTCTTTACCAAAATAATATAATACATATTATTTTGGTAAAGACATCACATCACAATAATAAACACAACTTTCAAAGTCTGTGTCAAATAAAGCAAAGGCTATTAATACCATGCATTGCGGTCCTTAAAATAATCATCAACTTTATAATAGCCTTTACTCATAAGTATGTTCTTTACATGAATTTTAAACTTATTTATGGGTAGGTCAATTACATTTTGTGAAACTTTATTGAAAATAGCAATGCATTTACCCAAAAATGACCCTCTGGTTTTCTGAAGTCTGAAGTTTGGAACGGCAAGTTTATTTATATATTTAGAACCGCGTAAATTTGGATAAGAAATATTTCATAGGAACTAAAACTAACTGGTACTTTGGTTCGAGTTATAGATAAATAGAG